CCAGCCTGGGAGAGGGGCTGATGGTCATTTTCAGGCTCTGGCTGGCCACAGCCACAGGCTAGAATCAGGTATCTGGAATTTATTTAACTTCTATAATTGAAACTTTGTTGCCTTGGTCCGGCTTAAAGCCTGGGTTGCCCAGCCCCTCCTTGAACAGAGGCCTCACCAGCTGGAAGCAGACATCTGGGATTTATTTATCTTCTATAATTGAAACTTTGTAGCCTTGAATGGAGCTTAGGGCCAGCAGGGCAGGCGGGAAGCTTTGCTTCCTCCATCGCCGGGGGCAACCCGAACCTCCTGCTTGCTCCAGCTCCGTGTCTGCCGCCATCTTTGCGATGGAGTGAGGGTTAATTTGCATATTACTATTTTATTAGACAGGATTATGTATAACAGGGTATTATAAAAATTAAGTTATAAAATTTTTATTAAAACATTTCTTACATACCGTTATATTGGCTGGGCCACAAAAATATTCATTGTAGGCCACATGCGGCCGTTGGGCCGTGAGTTTGACATGTTGTTAGTGCTGCTGTTCCTCCAGACGTTATCCTATCCTGGGCCCTCTTCTCTTCCTACAGAGCAGTGGTTCTCAACCTTCCTAATGCCGCAACCATTTAATACAGTTCCTCATGTTGAGGTGACCCCCAACCATAAAATTATTTTCGTTGCTACTTCATAACTGTAATGTTGCTACTGTTATGAATTGTAATGTAAATATCTGAAATGCAGGGTGTATTTTCATTGTTACAAATTGAGCATAATTAAAGCATAGTGATTCATCACAAAAACAATATGTAATTATATATGTGTTTTCTGATGGTCTTAGGCGACCCTTGTGAAAGGGTCGTTCGACCCCCAAAGGGGTCGCGACTCACAGGTTCAGAACGCTGCTACAGAGGGTCCACCTGCAGGAAAAAGAAACCACTCTTGCAATTTTTTTTCATAGAACAGAGTTTATTACTCACAGAACATTTTAGTGCTGGTAACCTTGCCCATGGTGCAGGGATGCACCCCAGGAGAGGAACCCTGAAATTATGACACTGAGAGCTCATGTAGCATTTCTGGCACATCTGCCATCCAAGATATATGTACACACACCCCTCATCTTTACT